GAAGACAAGTACAAAGCTCACGACAACAAGACTGATCACCTCAAAGCATACACAGCTACAAGGCAGACGATGAACGATGCCTGGCAAGGTTAAGAGGCCACATGTGTTGAAACAGCACCGGCGGTGAGAGACCAAGAGGGAGTAGTAAGAGGCCTCAGGAAAATAAAAGAAGATGCACTTGAGATGAAAACCAAGCTCGGGGCAAAGTTGGGGGAGTCCCCACCTCTCAAGCCACTGGCGCCATCCTCATTAAAAACAGAGGGATGAAGCAACCGACCAAAAGAAGGTTGAGAAAAAGCAGGCTCTGAACAAGAAAGAGAGGAAGTAGTACCAAATTCCAAAGAAACCGAGCATGAAGGAGGCTGAACTGATGAAAAGGGTAGCCGAGATCGTCGCGAGCTCGCCTGGTGTAGACACGCGGTCGGTAACTGCCCAAGTCATGGCAGACATGGGAATCGAACAGGAAAACTCTGAGAAAAATTCTGTCGAAGTAAAGGAAGAAGAGGTGGAGCAGAGACCCACAGGAAGAATCATTGGGGGGTCGGGGCACTCTCGAAGTGAAGTCAGAAGATACTAGGACGATCATTGGTGCTAGTTCCCCTGGCTCGGTCTCATCTAGCCAAAGCTTTAGTAGCAGCAGGAGCAGGGGTGGAAGAGGGGGTGGAAGAGGAGGAAGGGGAAGGGGAAGGTTCTCTCCCAGGGGCAAGGGAAGGGGGCAAGGACAGTTTCAGAGGAGGATACAGGGAAAGGAATGAAGGATAGATGGGACAAGGAGGAATGGGAGGTGGAATGGGAGGTGGATTTGGTGGAGGTGGGTCGGGGGAGTACCCGGTCCAGGGATACCAAGGTGGATACCAGGGAGGTCCGCCCCAAGGAATGATGTACCCTCAAGGACCATTCCACCCACCCCAGGGACCGCCGCCGTCGCACTGGCAAAATGGCAGGCATGTCGACAGCTACGGATATGAGTATGGCATTTCGATGTATGCGGCAAAACCAGCAGACAATAGGTACATGGAGGCGAGAGAAATAAACTCTGGTATGGAACAACCTCCTATGGCGGAAGCAACAAAATTGCCTCCTTCTATACACGGTTTGACAGCCGAAACGAACAAGATGAGGCAAGACAAGCCTACGGGTTTAAGTGTTTGAACTGCGGCGATCAGTCACACTTCGTGCGAGAGTGCACACACCCTTTCATAAATAAATCGAACATGCTCAACCCGGAGTTGGGCCAGGGACCGCCGCAATTGGTCAAAGAAAGATGGTCGAAATGGTTAAAGCGACTCAGAAACTGGCATGAACAGCGTAAAAAACACGGTTGAAGGTGCAACGGTAAGAATTCGGTCGCCTTTCCGGTAGCACGCTGGCCGTTAAATCCACCTTGTCCAGAGAACAGGGAAAATGAAGAAAACGAAGGGACTGAGGTCAAGAAGGACGACGTTATTTCAAGACCGAGAGAGTTTCAGGGTATGGACGGACGAGTGAAGCACATCACGAGTCATGATCCGGGGACTGGATGCTATCCGTCTAACAGTGGTGAGGGTGGTAACATCGGGGCCTTTGGAATTTTTAACAGTAATGGAAGTAATTACCCCGGAAACTGTGGATTCGGAATCTGTGGTACCGTCTACTGAGTCCGTGGCGATGAAAGACGCGTTGACGGAATTGGGCCATTCGGGCAGGAGTAACGAGCGGACTAGCGCCCCGCAAGATATTTCTGGTCTTGGTGGTGTGCAAACATCATCATGTGCAAACCTGTTAAAAAAACAGTCAAACCCTCGTTGGTCGGTCACTGATAACTGTTGCAGGAGAGGTTCAGGACAACCTCCTTCGTTTGGCCAAGCGAAGCCTGAAACCGCATCACCAAGTAGTAGTAGCGTCCGGTGTGGTAATAAAAAAAGGGGAGTGGAACAAGATATCCACAGTGCAGAATCCTCGCGGAAAACACCAAGTTGGATACCCACAGCTTATGGTACCGTACCGACTGTACATAGGGCCAAACAAAAGGACCCAGCTAGCAGTGAAGAAACCCGAAAAAGTGGGAACATGAAAGCTAACGAAGCGATGGATCGTATACAAAAAAGAAGTTCCGAAATGGAAGAACTAAAAACAAAATTGAAGGGCATACAAGAAGAAGGTTCCGAAAACGAAGTGGTTGATGCATCCAATCCAATCAAGGAATCTAAAACTCCCGCAGAATTTGCAGGGAGATGCCTCAAGAATACCGGTGGAGACAAACAGTTGGAGGACATGCGCCACGTAAAAAGTATAAGCGTGTACCCACTGGATCAAAATGACGAGACATCTGACAATACGCCTTCGGTTTATTCCCCTATGCCGGTTAACATACCCGCAGGAGAACCAGCAGAGTACTTGTCTCCCTTCACGAGTGCGATAGGGGGGGATGTCACATTAGACGCGCGCCACACCACAAGAGTTCAAGTGTTCGCGGGGGTTCAAGCAACGACGATGCACCTGTGTCAGGCACTATTAGATACCGGAAGTCCGGCGTCGTTCATACAACAAAGGTGTGTGGATTACATGTTGGAGTGTGGGTCAGCGTCACTGGATGGGATTGAGAAGGGAAGAAAACGAAAATGGGGAGGATTCCACGGAAGGCCCTTGATTACCACACAACAAGCGAGGTTAAACGTACAATTGTGGAAAGGGGGAAAACAAGCACCCAAGAATATTGGATCACCTACTGCATGTTTAGCTGTGCTGGCGCATGTGGTCCCGGATGGTGTTATGGACGTGGACGTTTTATTGGGACGAGATAGTTGGTCTCATTTTCCTGTTCGAAAATACAGGGATGTAACGGATGACGAAACAATAGTAACCTTTGAAACAAATGAAGGAAAAGGAGCAGCAGTTGACCAACAATTTGCAAATTGGGTTGACAATGCAGTGGGAATGATCGAACACGAGGGAAGTGATAAGGTGGTAGTAAGGTGTGTGGGAAAGAAAAGGTGGTTGCCAAATAAAATATCATGGGTACAAATTGAATTGACCAATCCTGACGGCAGTGAAGCGACAGAAGGAACATACCGCGTAAAATTCAAGGATAAATGGTTCCCTCAAGAAGCACTTGTAAGTGCAGGCAAATCGGAAATTCCTTTGAGACGGGTGGGGGATGCTGCATTTTTGGTGAAGTACAATGACCTGTTGGGTGAGGGTGGTGAACCCTTGGAGGTTGTTAGTATGGACGATGCAAGGCTTATTCCGAATGAAGAATATAAGGTACACGCGGTGTCAAGTGATGCAACTGACGTGCCTGCGGATGAACCCCCTGATGATGTTATGGCTGGTTTAAATCCCGCGCAATAGGTGGCATTTCGGCGTCTATGGCAAAAGGTGCCCGCGCATGTACGAGATGTTCGCCTCAATTTCAACGCGGAGTTGTGGGAACCCGAAGATATAATAAAGCTACGTGATCTGTTATGCAAATATGAGCACAGATTTTCACAGGACGGTTCTGATTTGGGACAAGTGAAGGTGGATCCGTTCCGAATTATTTTGAAACCGGGAGCACAGCCGGTGAAACAACGGCCGTATCGATATTCGCCGATCATAAACGAAAAAGTGCAGATAGAAATTGACAAACTGCTGTTGGCAGGGGTCTTGCGACGATCCTACAGTAATTGGGCAAGTCCCTTGGTCGTGGTCGCAAAAGCTAATGGAGGAGTACGGTTAACTGTGAATTACAAAAAAGTGAACCAAATGAGCGTTATACCGAAACTACCGATACCAGTAGTAGAGGACATTCTGGCGGATCTGAAGTCGGCAAAAATATTCAGCACTCTGGATTTGATCAGCGGATTTTTCCAGTGTTGGATTGAAGAGGACAGCATTCCGATCACTGCAGTTATTACGGCCACCGGTGTATATGAATTCATGGCTATGCCGCAAGGATTGTCGAGTAGCCCAGGGCGGTTCCATTCAGTCATGCAACGCGTGTGTGATGGGCTGGAGAGGGTGTGATTATTCATTGATGATGTTATCGTATACTCCCGAAATGGTGCAGAACACGTGCAGGATCTGGAGAGTTTTTTTGAGCGCATGACAAAGTTCAATCTGAAGCTAGCGCCGAAGAAAGCACATTAATTTCGGGGTGAAGGTGTTGACGTTTTTGGGGCACCAAGTAACGGCTGAAGGAATCGAGCCATATCCGAAGAATGTGAAGCCCATGTTGCAAATGCCGATGCCAACGAATGTCAGTCAGTTACGGTCAATCTTGGGGAGTCTGTCCTACTATCGGAAATTTTTAAAGGGGATGTCTGCAAAATTGCATTCAGTCACGGCGTTGTTGAAGAAGGATGCAAAATTTGCGTTCACGGCAAAACATGCCGAGGTGATACAAGAAATGAAGGACAAACTATCCAGTCCGGAAGTGTTGGCATTTCCTGATTATGAAGGAGCAATAACAGGGAAAAGAAAGTTTAGGTTAATCACTGATGCGTCCATATCTGGACTTGGGGCAGTTATTGAACAAGAGCAAGAGGATGGCACAGTTCGACCCTTGTGTTATTTGAGCAGGTCAACGTACCCCAATGAAAGGCGGTGGAGTGCAACAGAGTTGGAGTGTGGGGCGATTGTTTGGGCTATCAAGAAAAACCGAACATTGTTTTACGGCATTCCGTTTCAAATATACAGTGATCACCAACCTCTACGCAATTTAGAGAGCTTGGCGAAAAAAAAAGGCGGTTTGATTTTCTGTCAGCGTATATATATGAGCTGATTTGTCGGCCGGGCAAAGCAAATGGCAATGCGGATTGTATGTCTCGTTTACCCTTATTTGATGTAGGAAGATGCATCTCCGGAAATGCGATCAACTGATCCGTCCGATCTGGATGTGTATATGATAGGTGCAAGCGGGGTGATTCCTGCGAGAGTGGGTCCTGTCTTGGGTGGGCGAAAACGCCCGACGCAAGCCGACCCTCGCAAGAATTTTGTGTTGGGGGAAGATGACCATCAGCCGTTCACGACCGATGAAGAGGCAGATAGGACGTGGCAGGTGATTCAGCAGCACAGAGAAACGATGGCTCTAAGGGTGGAGGATGAACCGAAACACTATGCGTTGAAAGACGAGACTCCACTGGTAGATCCAGGGAAAATGGTGGTTAGTGGGCAATGGGAATCAGGTTTAATACTGCATGCAGTCCCGATGACAGAGGTGGGAAGATGTTTGTTGGGAATGGGAGTTATCAAAAAGCAACGAGACAAGAGAAAGAGAGTCATGGTGATCAACTCAAATGAAGGAGGAGGCTCAGCAGGTGGTGGATCTGAAGCTGAACCAGTGATGCGATCTCAAGGGTCACAATTAGAGGGTTGGAACAGCAAGGAAGCCAAAGAATTTGGAGAACGGTTGTGTGAAAAAACGGCCAGCGATTGGGTCGAAGCGCAATACAAAGACCTGACAGCAAAGGCAGCACTACAGCTAATTACAGATGAGGTTGAAGTACATAAAATAGGGGAAAATGACATACCTGAAGGGGTGGATATTGATGATGTTAAACGGTTGGTCGCGCAAGGAACGATCATGGTGTTGGCTGATTCACGTAAATTGCTGGTTCGTCGTGCGACGCGTGAACCATCAAACAGGCCAAACCGAAATCCGGGACAGTTCGACAGGCTGTTGGGGGATGAACCTGTAAGGACATACGTGCCTCTGATGTTACGACCTTGGGTGATGGACTGCGCACACAAAGAAGCAGTACACCTAGGCGAGAAGGTGACGTTAAGCATTTTGCAACGATTGGATTGGTGGGTGGGAATGGCGGAGAGTGTGAGACGGTGGTGCCGTAGGTGCTATTATTATCATTCAGAAAAACACCGAGGTACACGAACCTATGGCCATTGGTGTCATTACCTTTGCCAAGTAGGCCCGGACAGATGGTATCTTTTGACTATTTGGGTCCATTGCCGAAAACGAAGAATGACTGTGAGTACATTTTTTTGGTGGTGGATTTATTCAGTAGGCATGCGGAAGGGTACTCTCTGCAGAAAGGTGAAAAGAATGCAAAAGGATTTGTGGCAATCTTGGTCAATGAATACATACCAAGATGGGGTTTTCCACACACATTCTTGTCGGATAGTGGACCGGAATTTGCTACAGGTGTGGCGAAAGGAGTGTATAAAATGCTGTGATCTATCTAGTAGTTCACTAGCTATTATCATCCCCAAACGAATGGAATGGTGGAAAGGTTAAATCATACCATTTGTCAAATGTTGGCGCACCTGGTGGCGGATAATCAAAAAGATTGGGACGAAATGTTGCCACACGCAATTTCGGCGCACAATAATAACGTGAGCAGAGGAACAGGGCTTGCACCAAATATGGTACACATTGGGCGGTATCCAAGACTGCCGATGACCATTTTGGAAAGAAGGGGTACGAGGGGGATACAAGGGTTAAAAAGGGATCAACTTGACTATTTGGATCTGGTCAGAGACCGACAAGTGAAGGCATATGAGTTGGTCCGTGAGGAGGATGAGATCACGAAGCAGAAACATCAGGAAAGGAATAAGCAGATAGGGGAAGTAATTGGCAAAAGAGCAAAGTTTGAGAAGGGCGATTGGGTCCTAGTGTATGACGATAAAAGCACAATTTCAGGAGGGGGAGAACACGTGTTAAAATCGGCACTGGATTACAATAGAGGAGGAAAATCGTACGCGTTAATCGGTAAACTAGCACATTGCTGGACGGGTCCCTACAAGGTATTATTTGTTGGACCAGGAAAAGGACCGGATGACAAAGAAGTGGGACCCAAGGTTTTATTTCTCGAAATAAGTAAGGATGAGCCAGGGAAAGGGATTAATGAGAGGGTGTCAGTGCATCGATGCAATAAGTGTTACAATGCGTTCGACAAGGCGGACAAACCTAGGTTTTTACCTTGGGCACTGAGCACGTATGTGTTGAACAGATACTCGGAATTGGCACCTCCCTTCCATCTCACAGAGAACGATGTTGAGGAAGAATTGGACAGAC